GCAGGAATGACCAGGAGGAATCATGATGGCAATAAAATGGAAATAAAACTTTATTTTGGAAAGAAGACTTTTACATAGTGTAATTCTGATTAAAATTTACTTTTGTTTTATTTTCAAATGCAGATGTACAAAGTCTGGGATGAAGACTGCTGTAACCTTTTAACTGAACTGAGTGTAAATCAACCATACGGATAAGAATATTCAGGCATTAGGGTATCAGGTGCAGTCACAGTTCATCTCGTGAAAGTATTTGGGACTCATAAAACTCATAAGAAAAGCCCTATATATCGCTAGTAGCCATCTCCCCTTAAACTTTGAATTATCTTGAGTGGTTAAACTGCATTGACACCAGGAATGGAGCAGTTCTGTATACTAAGAAAAGTATACATCTTTTCTCCAAAGGAATGGAACTAACTGAGCAGGAGCAAAATAAATGTTTGTTCTTGATGAAGTACGTAAAATAAGAACTGGTAGCAGCTGATGAAGCACTAAAAGAGCACTAAAAGAGGGATGAGGTGTTCTCAGTGGAAATAATAGCTAGACTAAAAGAATTATTGTCTAGTTAGTACTTCAACGTACAGTACAGAGGCATTGCGTATATTGTTCTGCCACACAATTTGGCTTAAGTACAGTGTTAAAAAATTACACATTTCCTGTTTTGACCTGAAAGCAGGTAGGTAGAGGTATGCAAGAAAAGCACAGTTGGAAAGAAATAGTAAAGGAAGCACTGAGCAGACAAAGAGCAAGGACTGAACTCCTAAGACTTCTTAATATTCCCTGTCCTAAAACTGGGAAGAAAGAGTTCCTTTGATGTCTCTGGGTAAACAGCTATAGAGCAACTGACACCTCAAACTTGAGAATGAACCAGATTAAGCGAAGCAAATAACTGAAAGCTCTTTATCGGAGAAAAAGAAAGGAGGAGAATGAAGGCTTTTAAACATATTATTACTAAATTCAAGTCGGTGACAAGGCAAGGAAAATCTGAAAATATGACTATAGATTAAAGGAGTAACAGAATTAGGGAATAAAATCAAGTGGCTCAGCAAAAAATTACTATGCAACGAATTAATTTTTGATCACTGCCTTGAAACAGTGCATTGACTTTCAAAATACAGAGGTATATTAAATATTTAAGGAACAAAAGTTCTTATATGGCTACAACTGTACAAAGGAAATAACCCTTCAGGTTATACCGGTTTCATATGGAGTTGAGACTCTGACTCTTTGGAAGGCTCACTTAGTTACCTTAAAATACAGAAAAGCTAATAGAGACAGACTAACAGGGTTTTTATTTTGAAATACACTTCAAGATCAAAGACCAAAACTTAAATCAATGCTAACTGGTAGAAGCTTGAGATTTCTTCCTCAGCTGCTTTTTTTTTTTTTCTTTTTTTTTTTTTTTTTAACATTTGACAATGCTTATTTGAATTAATATTTAGAAAGCTGCTGGTAGTGAATAGCTATCACAGGTGAACTCACAATTTTATTCAGTACGTATTCATGACACAGCCAAACATTTAAAGCAATATAATGCAACAACCATAACTAGTGTGTATAAACAGCTCATAAAGAAGTATCTAAAGGGCTACAAAAATATGACGTTTTTAGTAACTGATTACAAAAATTTAAAAAGGTGAAGCTTACCTAGAATATTGTATATGCAATCCCTAGAAAAGCCTTAAAACGTAAAATGACGTATGTAACTTTATTTTGCTCATAACTATATATTTTCCCTATATTAGTTTGTAGTAACTGGACATTTACACATTATTCATAGACCTTTTGACACAAAGGATACTGAAAAACTAAATGCAAATATAGAATAAGTTAAATAGGCTTACATACAATGTGGTTATTGCACACTTAATTTTTTTCACATATGAAGTACAGTTTAACATTCTTTTCTGTATGAAGAAAGAGAAAAAAAGGAATAGCACATGAAATAAAAATCCATTTCTTAACCAGACATATTAGTCTGAAAAGTCTCTTTTTTTCAATAGAATCAAGCTTTTCTTTTTCTTCCTCTATTTCTGAAATACAGAGGAGTAACATATGCCTTTTTATTCTTTGGAGTTTTTTCCGATTCCCAAGATCCTTTTATTAATGGAATTTATCGCAGCCCTTGAAATAATGTTAAGTCATACTCTCCTTGCTCCAAAAAAACCCAAAGCAAACAAACACACAAAGGACTATGGGGAGCTATCCATTTCTGATGTTAACTTACCCCATTCAAGCTGCCCAGATCCTTCACCAAGTGTTCATCCGTAGAGGCATCATAGTTAAGTACAGCATGTTGCTTGTCCACACTTCGTGACTAAAATAGATATATATAACAAAACAAAGGTAAGGTATTTCAAAACCAGATCAAGATAGGATTTATTGCTATTTCTTAGAGTACCGTGATTATTTTCTTTCTACATAGCATATTTCTTCAAATAGTACAAAAAAAAATTAGTCCAACATATGAAAACTCTCAATCTCTAACCATACCCAACTCTAGCCCTAGATGCCCACAGCAGAACCCTAAAATTAACTCAGAATAATTATTTTCTTAATGTTTCCCCAATGTGATTATGTCAGATCCAGCCATAGCTTATCATAGTTTCACTGATGTTTAATCTAACATCATCAATTGCACCTTTATTTCTCCCTCTCTCCTTAACTACATGCATCTTTCAAAATATGAATACGATTCTATGCTGTTCTTGTTCTCTCTGAACCATACTATTTCCTGTCATGCATCAGTAAATCTTCCATTGTGTTGCCTTGGATATTTACCTAGTATACAAGCATTAAAATTGTTTCTCCGTGATCTCAATTTCCTAAACAAATTAGATATGGCCTCTTCACTAAATGTCTGTGTGCTTCCTGAATTACTACCCCCATCAGTTCTGCCTCTTTCTTTTATCAGGCCTTCCTTATGCACGTCAGCATCTATTCAATTAATTCTTTACTTCACATCCAAATGTCAACCCATAGCTCATGAACAGCCCTTGCTACTATTTTCTCTGAGAACATAACCTCCCTAACAGCTAAGTCCCTCTTTTAGCACTTGCCCATGGCCAAATGTTTGCAGCCTGAGGTGCTGACTTCAAGCGAGGAAGAGGTGGAGCTGGATGTATGCTTCCTTCACATATGAACATGGTCAGCACCTTGACATGTAGAAGATTTCCCAACTGGATAGAGCCCACAGCTCATCTTCCCCAGCTATGCCCTCAGTCTGTTTTCTGGCAATTCTGCTAGTGCAGTGTCTCGACGTGATCGCATAGTAGCAAATTTCTTCCAACAGTATTTCTTCCAGTTTCAGGTTTGCATCTTCTAGCCTTGCTACTCAACTCATTGTTCAGGATTATATAGAACTGAGAATGGCAAATTTCTGCCCAAGACTTCTGTGCTTATTTTTGTACCAGCACCTGCAGTCTGCCAGTTCTAGGAGCCCCAGGTTATCAGTGCATTAGCCAGTTCAAGGCATCAGACTATGCAATCATAATTCCTAAGAAAATGCTTTCTCTTCTCAGTATGCCACATTTATCATCTTGTCCCTTCTTGATTTCTCGAGACTTAATAATATTATTTTCCTTCCTTCTTTTCATTTACTTCCTTATTCTTCCTTTCCATGTCATCTTTTGACTGCTTTATTTCTCCTCAAAGAAGTGAAATCAATCCTCTTCTGCTCATACTTACTATGTTATTTTTAGACTTATCATTTGACCCAATTTGCTCTGCAGTCTTGAGGGACTGGGATATAAAAGGGGAGGCGAGAATTAAGGAAGAGACAGACAACTGAACAACAAGGTCCATGCCAATAAAAGCTGCACTAGTATACTAAATCAGTTCAGTGTTCTTAATGGTAGATGAAGCTATACTAGTACAGCTAATTTTCTACTGACTTAGTAACCTTTCTTCAAGTGAAAACAAGCTATCCCAGTAAAATCAATTTCACTGATGTAGGTGTTCTGCTGACCCTATGACATCAAGCAGAGATCACACCTTTCCACACTCAAGTGATGCAGCTATGCAAGCACAAGAATTACCCTATCTTTACCTAGGTTATGGGAAAAATTTCTGAACTTCTTTCAATTATGTTATTCAAATAAAAATTGTATTAGTAATCAATTGTTTTATTATCTTGATGTGCTACGTCCTATTAAAAATAAGTTAAAATGGAAATGACCCAGAAGATCCTTAAAGCTTCATGGTATTTTGTCACATCTTCCGAAATGGTAAGAATGAGTACTCAAGTCTGTGACTTTTAGAGAACGACCTGAAATTCTGCAGAACATTAAGGTTCTCCTCAGGCTCAGATTACTTGCATATAATTGGACATTTTTTTATTGCAGACAATCTTTACAGGTGCAAAGATTGTGCAAATCTTTCAAATGCCAGTTTTCCTGCTGATTTCTTATTGCAGCCTTCCATTCAAATTTAAGTACTGTCAAAGTTACTTTTTGTAAGACTGTGGTGCCCCGGCTGGCAGCTAAGCACCACACAGCGGCTCATTCACACCCCTCTGCCCCAGTGGGATGGGGAGGAGAACAGGAAGAGCAAAAGCAAAAAAACTCATGGGTCAAGTTAACGATAGTTTAAGTAGCAAAGGAAAGAGGAAGAAGAAAGAAGCAATAAAACAAGTGATGCAAAGGCCACCTCCCACAAGCAGATCAATGCCTAGCCAGTCTTTGAGCAGTGGTTGCCTTCCCCAAAGTCCCTTCCGTCAGCTTTACGGCTGAGCATGACATCATATTGCATGGAATATCCCTTTGGTCCACTTGGGTCAGCTGTTCTGGTTGTGTTCCCTCTCAACATCTTGTGCACCCCCAACAGTCACGTGTAAGTAGGAGGAGCAGCGTGAGAAAGAAAGAATTCCTTGAAACGATGCACACACTGTTCAGTAACAGCTAAAATATTGGTGTATTATCAACAGTGTTTTGGTCACAAATCCAAAACATAGTGCCATAAGGGCTTCTCTAACAAAAATTAATTTCATCCAGCCAGACCCAGTACAAAGTTTTACGCATGACTGCAGAAATAATAAAAAAATCACTGAAGAACTGTGCTAAGAGCTTTATGAATATAAAGAGGAAAACTCCATCCTCAGTTAAAATAAATCTGTAACTAGCATTATTTCAGACAAAGACTCTTCAATACAATTCAGACTACGAAGAAAATGTTCAGAATACAGAAATAAGAGTATTCTTCTTTGGAAATAATTTTGGTATTATGAATAATGTATAATTTTACACCTTGGAGATGATCCCCTCATCAAGATTCAAAAAGTTTTCTAAACGTAATGGTGAAAGAAGGAGAAAATGTGATATTTATCCACAAGCAGTGGATAAATCCAAGTGATGCATTGGAGCAGCTAGCTAAATACAAAGACTGCACTCTATGTTGGAGCATATTTACAAAATAACCCAGTTAAAGCAAATCTGTATTCCCAGACACAAACAAAACCTCTGTTAGAACAACAGTGGTTAGGTACAGATATGAGGTCTAATTCTATCAAGCATGCAACGGAGTTGAAATGCTTTTTAATAAGGCTTTTACAAAATGCTCTCTGTCAAGATACTATGAATAAAAGCATTACATTCCACTTGCTTTATCATGCATTGTCCACATGCTTTGCACTAAGAGAACAACCAAGTTGTCAAGAGTGGAAAGGAAGGGTCTACACAAAGAGCTATACATACAGAACAAGAACACATTATTAGCTTCTCTTTTGGTGAGTTCCTCCCCCTTCAGCAGCATGTGGTGTTACAGTCATGCTGGCATGTAGACCTAACATGACAGCAGGCTAAAGAGAATATTTTTGAAAATCACCAGGTCCCTTAATTCTTTTTGCTACCACTGAAGTCAATACACAACAAATAACATTTGTAAATGACTGGAACCTATTCAAAATATTAATCAAAGAGGCAGCTACTTTTGAAGGTGATCATGACTGAAGTTTTGTAACAAAATAATAAATGCTTGAGTATTCAGCTGCACTCTAAGGACTGATCAACCATGGGCAGGAGATGGCATAGGGGAGAGAGAAGGAAGAAAAGGTTCCCTTATTCAGAGACAACCACTCATTACAACAAGCTAGTGGTAAAACAAAAGCATTTTTTGATTACGATCTTCTGAGGAGGAACCAATGGGGTGGGGTTTTTTGATTGCTTTTTTTTTTGGTTTTGGGTGCTGGAGTTTTTTTGTGTGTGTTTGTTGTTTTGTTCGGGGTTTTTTAATATGGCCTTTATAAATCACCATGACATCACACTGTCTGTCTTTAAAGAAAAATTAAGAGTATTTTCAACTACTTTCTAACAGGGTCAAATTATTTCCATCACCATTAAAATCTTTGGATGCCTTTTGAGGTTGAGAGCCAAATGTAGTTTACTAGAGATATTACATTCTGAGTAACACAAAAAAAAAATAGATTTCTAGGCACTTCATTTGCAAATGAGATTCTAATTTGGCCATTAATGGCTGCACACACACTCTTGGGAACAAAAGATCCAAACCAAATTATTTTATTGAATGATATGAAGGGTTGAGAATATTAGTTTTGAAGTTCAATCCTCTTAAGAGTTCTGCTGTAACCAAAGGCAAGAATCCAAGAAGAAACTCCCCAAATATTACCATTAACCATTCAAAAATACATATACTACAAAGAAGCAGTCAGAAGACTACAGCTTTGATAGAACAAAGTGCATGAAATATAGCTACATAACAATACAGTTACACACCTCTAAGAGTTTCACATAGTGATCCTGAAAGTTGAGGAAGTTGCTGAAGTATCAAACTATTTTGACTAAGACTTGTATTTTTACAGTTCCACTGAAACCATTACTGAGACTGAGTCATTCAGCTTCCTTAGAGACAGAGCAATACTCCCTCTCCACTAACTTCATTTGCCTTCGTACCACATGATCAGGACATGGGGATAGAGTTACATCAAATCACATGACTAAATTAGATTACGAGTTGCAGAAAAAAGAAAGCTCTTTTCAAAAGCATCCAGTGCACTTAGCGTTATCACATTTTATGGAGCATACAGTCTACTTACTTTACTGATCATGCAATGCAAAATTTATTTCATCTTCTATTCTTGCATTCTGTATGTGATTTAGATGAAGAAAATGTGATGCTCTGCACTTTTACAGTAACTGTATGGTTGATGGCAATATATTTAAGCTAACTTCTCCCATGACCACAAAAGTTTAATCAAAACAATAGCTCCCCCAACATCTGGGGAATTTAATTTTTAGAAGGAATATAAAACTGGTGCATTAAGTTCACGATCTGAGCAGTTGCACATGTAAGGCTGATGCAATTACCTGTAACATCAGCTCACAGTCATCTCTTCCAACAAAAATCATTTCTCGTGGCAGCCTATGGCGGGTGCCTCCACTGCTCACCAAAAACCAGGATGTTAAGCTCATTTTCTGCTTAGCTGATAAATCCTTGGCAAAGCTACGTCATCCTGCAGCAAGAAAGAAAGACAGACAGAGAAATTCATTTTAGCTATTTTTAGCTACAGTTCCTGCTCAGCAAACACTGTGAGCAGAATACATAAAGCCTTTGAAAGTACAGCATTCTCAATAGCATGTACTGAATCTAGCAATCACAGGATGTGACAGGCTCCAGATTTACATAGTGTTAGCCTTTCTGCAACTAGGCAAATTTAATCGGAGGTAAGCTTCTTCAAAATGAACAAGCAGCTAGTTAATCCCAAAAGTCATATGTCAAGTTGTCAGAAGGCTTTTAACATTTGACTGCTTATCATCAAGATAATTGCTACATTACTGTTTCACTACCACAACCAATAAACAACGTAGCAAATGTTCACAAAATACAGACAGTAACTTGCATATGTGTCATTACATTTTCCTGAGAAAAACAACTACCTCATTTGGTTTTAAGCTCAGGTTCTCTGTACAGCACCAAAAGCTTAAATTAAAGGAAGTTTTTGCTTCTTATTTAACATTAGATTTTCTCAATAAAACTTTTATATTTTTGAAATTTAATAGTGAACATTTAGAATTGTAAACAAAGCAGAGCAAAACGAGCAATTTAAAAGTTAGTTATAAATAATAAAACTAAAAGCAGCATTCCTACAAAACCCCTTAATTTTCCAATAAACAAAATTACATACCACATACTTACACAGAAAAAAAAGAGCCACAGCTATTTAAAATGTCATAAAATACCAAAAAAAAACCCCACAAAAAACTTGAAAACTAGATAAAATCTTTTATGGAAAACTTCTTCACATAATGTGGCCTACTTGACACTGAACAAAATGTGATTAAAAGCACTCTCCAAAGTAATTAAATGGTTGATACTTTGAAAAGCCTGTAAGAAACATTCCAAAACTCTCTTTAAGAAAAAGCAAGCCAAAGCAATCATTTCATTCGTTACCACTCTGTATTCACTAAAACGGAAGCTAAAGAAAATAAAAAGCAATCAGTCTGCATTCCTCTCCGTACCAAATATCTGGCATTTCTCTTCTCCTTTATTTATATGTCATTTAGTGAAATTATGCAAAAGTAACAAATGTACTGTAAGTAGACATAAACCTGTAGCAGACGAGCATAATCTACATAATAACAGGAATGCAGCGAGGTTCTCAAAATCAAGACTAACATGTAAGAACTGAGTAAGACAACAATGCCAGCACTGCCCCACTAGGCAAACTAGAATCAAAGAGAGACACTGCAAACTCTGAAAATTTATAAAGAGGACTGAGTTCAGCCAAAATTGCATCTGAAAATGACAAACCAGACATTTACAAAACAGTAAGTAGAAAGCATACCATGGCAGGTGCTAAAATGAACCAGCAGAGCTGTCAACTCAGTTAAGAAAAAATAATGCAATTCAAATGGAAGAAATTAGACTTAATGTGCCAAAAATTTAATTAATAGAAAAGTAAATATGTATCACGTGTTCTTTTATACAGTGATACCTACAATAGGGTTGTCTTCCCACAGCTGTATCACAACACATTCTTCAGATGAAACTTACATCCACTTGATGTTCTCCAACTCAATGGGAGAAGTGATACAGCATCTCTATTACACTTTATACTTTATTCCAGAAAGTATGAAGATTACAAATTATATCTACAGTGGAATCAGCAATAACTTGCTGAAATCAAATTTAAAGACATCTTGTCACCAAATAAGTGTTTTAATAATTAAAACAGTTTATTCAGCACCTTTGAAGGAAATTAACATTTGTATTTTTAATTTAACCTAGTTTAAAACTAGAAGATAAACTAGGTCAATCAAATGACATTTTTCCATTCCTTTTAAGAAAGCAAAAGGAAGCACAAAAAACGGCCAGCCCAAGTACCAGCTTTTAACAAGTAAATTAAATGGATGTTTGACAGAAAGCATGCTGCTCAGTATCAAAGCTCCTCATTTCATTTATATTTTACTGCCTTTCAATCTCCCATCTGCTTATCATAACAACATTTACACCAGTTGGCCTTCCTGTTCTAATTGGAAAATCATATGAAAACCTCCAAGAAGATACAAACTATTTGGAAAAGTTCTTACTCAAATGTTATGCCTTAGTTTACATAGGGAGACTGACAGTAAAGGAGAAAAACTATTTTTATTTATAAACCAGACAAGTAGGTCAACAACTACTTAGCTAGGAAAAAAAAAAAACAACAACCCCCCAAACCTCCTAAAAATGATAAAGCCTGACAACAAACAGATTAAATTAAGCTATCTGAAATAGTTTTAAAAAACGTATTACACAGAACAATCATTACCACACAGCACGGCAGCACATTTGTAGTTAAAAGCCCATCACCATTTCTAGCGAACTTAGTAACTTTGTTCTTTTCAAACAGTGCTGTCTCAACTGTGACAAATCATCAACCTAGATACATATTTTATTTTCAAGTACTCTTTAGAATAAACTAATGCCTTTGATCAAAGCTATGCTGAAATTCTACATAGCAAAACTGGTTGAAAACAGAATACAGTAGCAACAGTTGCTCAATATCAGAACAAAAAAGTGCATTAAAAATTAGGTACGAAACTGCACACTTCTTAGTTATATAGACAGCATATGAACAATTACACTGCACCCTGAAAACTTCATGAAAGCTAACTATTTTTAATACACTGCTGAGCTAAGTAGTCTGGCTGTAGCATTCTGAACAACACAAGGATGAAAGACTGTTCACTGTCTAGGAGATACCAATTAAATTACTAAAGGACAGGTGCAAAATCATCAGAAGTGCTCTTTACGCAGTGTAAATTTAGGTCATGATAATTCTTGCAATGAAATTTTATAGATACTAAAAGGTTACACTTGGTTCAACAAGCAATAAACATTCATGGAAGTAAAAATCATCATGCCTATTAAATGCAATGACTCCATTTACAGCTCAGGAACTTCAGGAGTTGGGCATTCTGAGAGGCTGGGGGCGTGCTCAAGTGAGGTTTCACTGGGTATCGTCCCAGTTAATAAACTCTCTTCCTAACCTAGCCTTTGTTCATGGGGAACAGGATACTGGCCCAAATGGACCTGTCTTACTCCAGTACAGACTACACTTTTTAGATGAAGTATTTACCAAGAATATGATGATTTCTTCCCTAGAAAAATGAATTTTCAATGCTTTACTGAAACATTGTTTCATTACTCTTTCCTAATATGGCAGTATTGTGTTGTAGCCTTTACATAATAAACTAGTAAGCATTTTATCATTAAGACTTGATCATTCAAAGCGATACTTCATTCCAGATACCTGGAAGTCAGCTGCCGAGACATTTATTGCAACAGCAAAATGTTTCCCCGTCTGCAGCATTTTATGGTGAAGTACTACGAATTTCAAAAGGCAGTAACCACTGTAAGAATGAACACATTGGTAAGAAGTCATATGAAACAGATGATGCAGCAACAGAGAAATTGGCTGCATTACCCCTGTAAATATACTTCAGTCCTAAGAACTAAAGCCCTGCATTATGTAGCCAAAAGATGGGTGTAACCAATTTGAAATATGTCTAGAGAAACACTGCCAAGATTATATTTTTGATATAGTAATGTTATTGTAAGCAAAAATCCTTAACAATCTCACATTTGAGCAAACTACAGTCTACATTTTTGTATTTGCCTGTAAGTGAAAACAACCAGCTGTTTTCTCCAACTAAACTATTAGGAAGTACGGAGACAGTGATCCTGGGACACTGACTTTTAACCACCACAGCCCTCCATATTGATTGAAAATAGTAAAATGATACAAAATTATCCTATTAGTGTACAACAAATTTTATTTGAGAATATTTAAAATTAAAAAACCCTGCATCAAACTGAGACACAGTTTGATGATAACATGTTGCCCATTGATTGCCCTTACATCTTCCTGTTTCCAGCTGCTAAAAATTTTGCTAGAAGTAAGTTTACCTTCTCATACAATTGCTTAGTATGTTTGGGGAAGCTTCAGAAGAAATGACTCAAACATTTCTGAAACGAGGTCAGAGGAAAATATTCTATGTTACTAACTTAAAAAAAAAAATTCTAAGTAGTACCTCATATATGCAAATTGCTAATGGCAATGTGACAAGAGGCCTTAGTATCAGTTTGTACCTTTTACTGTTGCTCTTCTGCAAATCTATCCAAATGCAGACAAGAAATAGGTTTTTGAACACTTTCCATGTGTTCAACATGGAAACAACAGTTTCAGTAAGTTTTCAACAACTTAGTTCAACAAGTACACAGATAAATTCTCTCAACACGTCTGTCTACACAGAGCACGCACCACAATTTGCTTTAACTACCCGTTTTTAAACTTATAGTACCAGTTAGAACCGAAGCCAAGGCATCCTTCCCCAGTACTCTCAATTCCTCCACTGTTGCTGGTAGAGAACAAACACAAGGGTAGAAGACCCAGAAGGAGAGAACACCAAGCACACCTGGACGAGACACTTGAGATGGAGCTAGGCAGCTGGTATGAGGAATCAAGAAAGGCAAACATCAGGCATAAGCTGTGACAAGGGAGAAATCAGAATTAAGAGAGCACTAATGGAGCCCGTAATGACTGGAGAAGACCTGAAGTTGAAGCTGTGTCCCATGTCACAAAGAAATTCTGTCAGCAAACAATGCCCACTGGAAAAGTGCCTACCATGTCTGCTTTATTGACTATTCAATGTATTTAAGGATACTAGTGCCGGCAGTTCTATTTTTGAGTGAAGCAGAGAAATTTATGCTCTAGAAAGAAAAGAGCAAAGTCAAGGTAATTCCAGCCCTGAGAAGATTACTGTATCAATATGATTTGTATTAAAAAGTAATCTATAAAGATAATTGCTTTAAAACTAAGAAGTTATAAGTAGAAAACACCAAAATAATATTGTCTACTCTGTAAAACATTCTAAAGCTGGGCAGAATCACAAGAAGTGTTCCCTGCGCAACCACAATTAACCTACTT